ATATATATATATATATATATATATATATATATATATATATATATATATTCTATACTTATGATTACAAATAAATTATAATTAATGAGTTTTTCTGTAACTTTGTCTTATCCATTTTCGATACTCTAAACAAAATATATTTTCATAATTGTTGATTCATGTATTAGGAATCACAAAATACAATAAAGAGGAAAACTAGAATATATCGCTCATTATATAAGATATCAATTGAGAATTAAAAGGTTATAACAAATTAAACTTTTGCTAACAGTCAATAAAATTTCCCTTCACGATTAATTTGCGAAGGAAATATCGATCTTAAATTTCAACCGATGAGCCACTCGAGTTTCGTTCTTTTTGTCGACTCTCATACGTGAATCGAAAGTTAAGCTTACGTGATCGATGACGAGGATTCAATCGTCGTCCCCATCGTCGCAGTCGCTCGGCATTATGGCCTCTGTATAATTCGCACGTGCGACAAGGCGTGATGGGGTATAAAAGGGGTAAGGATGGGGAAAGTGAAAGAGAGGCGAGGTACACGGTCGGTCGTTGGGCGAAAGAACTAATCGACTGATTTGTACGCGGAGTCACGACTCGTGTACGTAGCCAGACGTAATCAAAAACACACGAGATGAAAACACGCGAGCCGTGCGGCTCTGTCCCGTATCGACTCTTCTATCTCTCTCATTGGCACACTAATCTTTGTGGCACACTTATCTTAATCCTAATTTGATCTACGATGGTGCATGATAAATTCATCGCGCTTATGCGTAAAATAGATTAACTCCATCGAAAGTTTCTCTGATCCTGTTACCTCGAAAATTGCATTTGTTATTAAAATGATATACGAAAGCGTAAAGAGTTTTAATATCGATATCGATAAAAGTTGCGTAATTAATAATAAAAGGATTATAAAATATAATTACTTCTTTCGTTTCCATTTAAATTTTTATCAAAACTTGATATATCAAACTTTGTTTTAAGAGAACATATATATATATATATATATATATATATTCTTTATTCATAAATGTCTATTTAACTAATT